AAAATTTAGTTATTATTAGCCTACACAAATTGTAAACAATATGCAGCAGGAGTAATGAAATAGAAACTTTAAAAGGTTTTTGTAAAAGTTACTTCAAAGACAACAAAGGAAAGTAAAAGAAAAACATAAAATGAGTTAGAAAAATAACTCACTCATATTTCCATGACCCCAAGCTAACCATGAGCGTGTGTCATGAAAGAAGCATGCATATTATTAATATGTATAAAGGAAATAGTTGTGGTTGAATTATTCATGAGCTTTCAAAACACCTGGTGGGAGTAGCATTCAAGAATAATTTTGAAAGATAAATAAAAATTAGCAGGAGAAATTTGGGATGTATCAGTATTCTTGTGTCAAAGTAGTAGAGAATTTCTTGGGAGACAAAATAGCTTTTGAGAGTGCAACAGTAGATAAAATAGCATTGGTTTTCAGTTTATTGGCAATATACATTTGGAGAAGGAAGGTGCTGGAAATATCAGCCCTCTAAATGATCTGCTTATAGATCATCCATTAAGGCGAATTATCCAACTGATTTTCACTGTGTTAAGGTGTGGATTGAGTCTTTATCAATTTCTGTCCACAGGAGGTGATTTTATATAGTTGGAAGACTCTGGCTGTTGCCCTTCCTAACCAGCTAGTGGTGTAAGTTTATTGACTATATGCTTCAAGCAGTTATTATGTATTTTGAAAATAGTTTTCCTCTGTTTATAGCATCGATTCCAGGAAATATCTTTTTAGCACTGCATGAAAAACTCCATATTATGCTGAAAGGAAGATTGGGGACTTTGAATGTACATGAGTTTACTGTACAACTAACTGAAGAATTACATGAACAACTGGAGAATTTGGGCACTCATGGGACAATGGACCTCAACAAATTAGTAAGGTAAATAAATAAATAGATGCATTAGTATCTGTTAGTCTTGGTAATTTTAGAGTAAGTTTTTTTGAATCCTTTCTATTAGACCTCAAAGTTATCGTACTTATTAGTAAAGTCTACTTAACTGGACTATTAGGAAAAAATTTTAAATCCCTTACAATCTAATTAACAGGCAGTTTTCAGGTGACCACTCTTATGAGAAAATAAGTTAATGTGGTTATTTCAAAATGTTTATAGTAATTTCTTTTTAGTTATTTCATGTATTTGTGCATGCTTTAAATGGATTTACCATGTCTAATTGTCATGCATCCATCACAGTTTTGATAAACCAGTGCAATTTGTGATCATTAGGAAAAACTATTGAGAGGACAGGGAAAGAATGGAATTATTGAGTGGGTGACAGGATGCAAGAAATCTTTGTGAGACTTTGAAAGGTGGCCAAGGCAAAAACAAATGCTGGCCCTAGAACTAAGCGACAAGCAACTCTTAGATCATTGATCCGAAAAGAAAAGGTTAAGGTTGTGGAGGAAGTCACTTATGTTCTGGAGTTTTCTGTAAGAATTAAGGACTGAGCATGAGAGAAATTCCCCAACCGCATAAAGAGATTTGGTAAATTAAAATTACCTTGGACACTGTTCTATTTTATTGGAATCCTCAACTGCAAAGGGCAACGATCAGTGGTTCCTTTAAAAAAAAACAAACACTGTTTCAACTTAATGGGACAAAATGATATTCAGAACTTTTGTTAGAGGTCCAGAAAGAGTCGGTTGTAGGATGCAATAAATAAATAAATAAATAGATAGATAGATAAATAAATAAATAAATGAAGAAACTCTCCAAATTTTGCCAAAGCATGTTTAAAATTGCAAAGGAAAGCAAATCTTTGTATATTTTTGGGACACTAGGGAAGGACATCTGGAAGAAAGGGTGAATAGAAAGTAGATAAATGGTAGGTATTTAGTGATATAATCTACAGCATGCTAGTAATCTTTGAAGTTCATATTGACTGCTGAGAAATACTGTATTTCCTTGTGTGATAATCTGAATTTATAGGATGCTATGAGAAATTAGGAAATTTGGTGGCTGACTTTACCGTTAATATCTTGTGATACTTTTATCTGGTATCCTAAGGTAAGGACTGTTATTTTAGTTACTGTTATGAATTAATAGTACATGGTTATTGAATGGTATTCAATAAAATTAGTTCTGTTTGAAAAAATACTTGCTTAGAAAGAATGTTTAAGTCATCAGATAAGTAAGGGCACAATATCAGCTATTCCTGAATTTTGAAACTCCTCAAGAGTGGCTCTTTGAAATCTGCCACCTATTGTTGTGCTTGTTAAAGGTGTGTTGCTACTGAAGAATTCCTTCTTTTGCATTCTATCCCTGTTCTTTGACCTTGGGTCTGACTTTCTGTGTGTTTCTGTCTCGGTAGGCAGCTTCTTTATCCAGTCACAGTGAACGTGCTCTTTAATAAAGGTTTGTTTTTCACAAGCAAGAGGAAGAGCAAGGAGTTCTGTCAGCAGTTTGAAGTGTTTGATCAAGGCTTTGAATATGGGTCTCAGATGCCAGAATGCCTCCTAAGGTAGGGAGTTGTGACGCGTCATGAATGCGTTGACTGGGCTGCTTTCAGCAGTTTGTACACTGCTCACGTATCCCTGATCGAAACAGATACAGAGGTAGTTTCTAAGACTGAGAAACTGCTTCTTATGCCTGGTTTGTTTGTGCTGTGCATGTGAATTGAGGGGGAAACAAAAGGAAAGAGAAGCACCTTTCTTTGGTTCATTTTGATGAATGAAGACAGAAAAGTGAAAAGTGAAGGGAAAACAAATAGTCTTTTTGAGTCCTTTAGTCCCATTTATTAGTTATTATCAGCACATTCATTGGCTGCATTTGAGTCTATGCTAAGTTATCATGTGTGACTTATCTCCTTCAAAGCAAACATTGCCCTCATTATCTGAGGTAAAAGTTGCTGTGGTCAAAATGTATTTCTCACAGTTGGCTTGGACAGATGTTTGTAAAATGACTCACATGTCAAGTAACTGCATTTTTTAGACTTCTTGATAGTTCCTCTGTGTCTTACTACTTTTGGGTTGCTATAACAAAATTGTACAGACTAAGGGAGCTTGTGAAGAATAAACATTTATTTCTTACAGCTCTTGAAGTGTGGAAGTCCCTGATCAGGGTGCCAGCATGGCTGGGTTCAGGAGCTGCTCTCTTCCTGGTTACCTGCAGCCAACGGCACGGGCCAGTTCCTTCAAGCCTTTGGGAAAGCCCACTCACCTGGCTTATGAGGTCTCCATTCTTTTGGCCTAGTCATCTCGTTAGGGGCTGCTACCCCCTAATATTATTACTTCAAGGATTAGGGTTTGAGCATACAGATTTGGGGATCCTAAGCTTTCAGGTCACAGCAGCATACATGGAAGCTAGTCAGAAAAAGATTTACTGAATCCAAGCCAATATGCTTTACCTGATTTAACCCAGTGATTAGGATTGGGCTTTCATTATTTCACAGCTCATAACAGTCACAGCAAGATAATACTAAAACTTCCAACCCTGTTTTCTCACTTAATGGCAATTGACTAGAGACCTAAGCATTGATTTGCAAAAGCCACGTAAGTATTATTCCTTGTACCCACAGCTGTTCTTGAGAACCAAGAATTTTGAAGAGGGTGCTTGTGAAATTCTTCATGCAAATGAAAAAGCAGATATGTGTTTACAAACTTTGAATCCACAGATATTCCCCCTTGAAATGCCTGACATTCAATTAAATCAATTTCTGCGTGTAAATATTTTTCCTTTATGCAGAAACTGGTCAAAGTCCAAAAAGTGGTTCCTAACACTGTTAGAGAAAAGTATTCCTGATATAAAAGCATACAGATCTGAGAAAGATAATTCTTTGGTAAGTATTTCTTAACATCTTTACTGAAATATATGAGATAAAGTTAATAGTAAATTATGATTGTTAAAGTGTGCGTGGAAATATGCTGCTTGGGATGCCTGCATTCCAGATGGGAGTGTCTGGTTCCAGTCCTGGCTCCACTCCCAGTTTTCTGGGAATAGGTACCTGGGGAAACAGCAGGTGGTGATTCAGCAGTTGGTACATGCCTTCTTGGTAGAGACCCAGACTGCATTACAGGGCCTTGACTTCAAAACTGGCTTGGTGGGTTTTCAGGAAGTGAATTACGAAATAGAAGGTATTGTATTTCTCAACCTTTCAAATATATATTTGCTAAAAACTTAGTTTTTTATGTAATAAATTCATTTTACTTTTGTTGATGTTTACATAGTTGAGAGGGATACATGCCCCTGTGGACAACTGATAATGGTGGGGAGGTTTGAGGAGTGGGGGAAAATAAATGGATGAGACAGCTGCCTTCAATTTCCTTTTTCCTTTTGGTATCTGGGGAAAGTGGAGACAGAAGGGGAGAGAACTACTCCCAGCAGCCTAATCACATACCTAGGAATGGGGGAAGGCCACCTGATATCATCTTAGGGTACCCAATGTGGAGTGGGTTCCGAGGACACTGATTAAATGTTTTTGGAAGTTATGACGTGCGCTTGATTTTGTCGTTCCAAGGTTCAGGAAATCCTCCCAAGGTTCATTGGCTGACACAGTCCACTTTAGAGTCTCTATTTGCAAGATATTCACTGTCAAGACTTGTGTGGGAAAGAGTTGTCCCATTTTTTTCTTCCATCTTCTGCCACTGTACTAGATATCCTCTGCAGGCCTCAATGAACTGGTTGTTGTGTCCCCATGAGCATCTGAGCATGTGGTCCACCACACAGGCCTCAACAACCGAGCAGTCCCAGTTCTGACACATGCACTCCACGGTGGGACCACATATCCTGTGATTTTCACTGTGGTTGGAGTTCTGAGTGTGGTGATCCAATTGGGGTGGTTCCCCAAAAAACCTCCCCAGAGGTGACCCCAGACCTTATTTCTGTGTGAACCAATCAGTGCGGAATCCAGCTCAGGCTATCACCCACGTCAGCCTACACACACATAAGTGGCTGTAGTCACCTGATCAGTTTTATCTCTAGCCCCACTTCACATGCAAAATAACAGATGCTGCAGCCTAGCTTAACTGCCCACCACGTACCCACCCTCATGTATACCAGTGGGAGCTGCAGCTTAATCAGAGTGAACCCCAACAGCCCCAACTAGGCCCACCCAAGCCCTTGGTAACTGTACATGCCAGTATATGCAGCAGACTTGTCCAGTCTGTCACACACACATTCCATTCAGCACTCATATGCATCAGTGAGTGTTGGAGCCTAGCTCAACCGAACTGACTCCACCTTCCAGCCCACACTCATCATGCCAGTGGTGCCAGCACCTGACTAGCCAGACACAACTAGCCCTGGTTCTCATGTTCACTGGAGGGAGTTGTAACCCAGTCAGACAGATGCCCACAATTTCCCTACTAGACGCATTCCCAGCCCCAAATCTTGCACTTTCTAGGTGGTTCTACTATCTAGGCTGATAGGAATTGCCCCTAGTCCCAACACTTGCCAGCTAGCCAATGCTTCAGCAAACCCAAACAGCCTGTACTTAGTCTGGCTCATGTATGTACCAGTAGATATATTCGCCTAGCCCGGCCTGCTTTCCCCTAACCCATCTCACATGCAGATCAGTGGGCTTTGTATTCCTGCCCAGTCTGGTCTGCCCCAAAGCTCCCCTGCTAAATCACCCCCCCGAGCCTGGATTTTATGTGTGCTAGTGGATGCTGCTGTACAGACTGGCATGAGTCAGTTCAGAACTTACCAGTGGGTGCTGCAGCCTAGCTTAGCCCAGTCTTCCCTAAGTCCCAACTAGGCTGGTGGGGACTACAGCCTAGGCCAGCCCAGTCAGCTCCCAGCCCTGACCGTAATGGGAACTGCCTGGCATTGTGGCCTAACCCAGCCCACTTTGTAACCCATCCTGGTTTTCACATCTGCCAGTGGATGCTTCGGCCTGGCCTACTCCCAGAACTGACCCATACATATGCATCTGGGACTGTAACCTGGCTTTCTTTGGGCTGCTCTCAGTCTTGGTTCTTATGCTCATTTGCAGGGACTGTGTCCTGATTCAGGAGTTCCCCCAGCTTCTCTGTCCATCACCTCCCAGTGGCAATCTTGCACACATTAGTGGATCCTTGGCCCAGCCTGACTTAGCTTTCCTCCTGTTTTGACAGGAACAGCTGCCTTGCCCTACCAGGTCACACCTTTTCTGGATCTTACTGTTGGGTGCTATAGCCCAGCCATGCCTAGTCCACCACCAGGACCCAGCTTTCCCATAGGATACAGAGACCTTACCATCCTGTCCTGTACCCACTCTGGCTCTTGTGAGCACCAATGGGTTCTGAAGCCTAGCTCAGTTAGGCACACCCCAGACCCAGTACACCACCATGCTGAGGGACACTGCAGTCATGTCTAGCCCAGTTCACCACCCCCATTCCACCTGTCAGGCTCACTATTGGGAACCACAGTCCGAAAGTGGTGTCTCTAGCTCCCTGACCAAGCTCACTCCAAGCCACATATCTAATACATACCAGTGGTTGCTCTGATCCAGTCCAATTTAACCCATCATATCTTGGCCTTTGCCATCAGATACTGAATCCTGGACTGGCATAGCCTGCCCCAATCCCAACTCTTGCTGCTGGTTGCTGCAGCCTAGCTCTGCCCAGCCTGCCACCGTCCCTAGCTTTTATGCAGACTCGTAGGTGTGATAACCTATCATAGCTTAGCATGACCCACACCCATCCCTGGCTCCCTCACATACCAGTGTGTGTGATGTGGTTTGTCCTGGCCCTGTCTGGTCCACCCCCTACATAACCAAGCCACAAACCTGCTGACAAGTGAATCAGCCCTGCCTGACCTGACCAACATCCAGCCCTCAATCATGTGCTCACCAGTGGGAACAATGGGAGTTCCCCAAGTTCCCTACTAGGCCCACTCCCAGACCTGATCGCATATGTGACAGTGGGTACTAGGTCTTTACCAGGCCCCCTAGTGTCAGCCTTTGTGTGCTCTGCTGGATGTTGTGGCTCAGCCTGCCCCACACCCTATTCTTGGGTGCGCCTGTGGGTACTACAACCTGGACCAGCCCAGCCTGTTCCCAACCCTAGTACCCATGGGCATTGTTGAGTTCCATTCTCAAGCCTATATTAGTCCGTCACCCTCAACCCTCGAGCAAACCAGCTGGAATGGCAGTCCCACAGGGTTGAGCCCATAATCCCCACAAATCTGTTCCCAAACCCAGTTCTCCTATAAGCTGGTTTAATGTCAAGGCCCAGCCTCACAGGATCCACTCCTGCCCCAACACTCACTGGTAAGCACTGTTGTTGAGTCTTTCCAGACAGGCTTCCCACTCATGGTTTTTGTGTTTATCCATAAGCAGTGATTGATTCCAACAGGCCCAGCTCAGATCTTCCACATGAGTGGATGTATTGGTTTGGCCTCAGAGGATCCTACAATTTCCTTCCTGTAAACCAGCCAGTCTCAGCCCCCTTGTTTGCTTGCTTTGCGTGCTGTAGCCAGGTTAGTAGAAGTCCCCTCAGAAGTCACTGCTCACCTGTAATATTTTCTCTCAGGAATCCTCCCTGCCACACATCTCGAGACCTGCTTCACTAAACAATCCACAGCCCCCCAAGGCAGGTCCTCTCGTGGTGTGCTATGCCAGCCTGGGGCCTCGTCTGCCTACCCAGGGCCCACACACACTTGTGCACAGGTCCCTAGACCCTGTCTGTTGGCATGCTGGTGTCTGTTCCGCACATATCACCAAAAAAAAAAAAAAAAGGTAGTAGAATAGGTGACTTTCCTGGCACATTGGTATAGTTAACATGAATTTGGCATTAACCAGGCCCAGGATGCCTGCCAGCTATTAGCTGCTTTTCTCAACCTAAGTTATTGCCTCTAGCAGGGAAAAAACTGAGTTTAATTAGATAATCTTTTGGGCCACTCACTGTACTAGAAATGTTGACGTATATTGTAACTTCATGATACTGAGAAAGCTATGAGTCCTGTTTAAGAAAGATGTTGAAGCTACAGATAACAATATTAAGATTCTTTATTTATATATTCTACAATTGGCTGTGTTAAAGGAAAAAAAAACATACTACCAATTTCAGGCTTGAATTTGAAATTCTAGATTTCACTCCATAAAATAAGTGTTCTGGATGTACTGGGTAGAAAAGGTTGGTTTTATAGACAGACTGAGAAAAGTAAAAGCGAAGAATAAAAAATGACTGGTTATTTCAAGGTCAGTTGCCCCGTAAAGCAGAGACATGGAGAAAGGCATAG